GCCTGGTTCTGTCTGCCCCCCTGCTCTGATCTTGACAAGGTGCCATGGAAAGCAACTGGCAGGCCATCTTGGGAAAGCGCTGGGGTGCCCAGGAGGTGGTCCGAAGATGCTCCGTGATCCTGCCCCCCCACCCTCCCCAGCTGCCCAGCAACAGCACCAGCCCATCCAGGCCACCCGGAGCCCAGCGACCCCCAGCAGCGCCCCTGCGGCCGGCAACGTGGCCTGGCGTGGCAGAGAAGTGCCCGTGCTTTCCACTCGCTTTATTTCCCTGCAATGAATGATTCCTGCATTCAGCGGCTTTCGATACCGTCGACCTTGGTATCCTTCTGGAGAGGCTGGCGGGACTGGGAGTAGGAGGCACTGCTTGGCAGAGGTTCCGCTCCTATCTCAATGGCCGATTCCAGGAGGTGGTGCTGGGGACGATGGCTCTGCGCCATGGCAGCGACGCCATGGGGTTCCTCAGGGGTCCATCTTGTCCCCCTTGCTATTCAACATCTACATGGAGCCGCTGGGAGAGGTCATCAGGAGGTGTGGGCTGAGGAGTCATCAGTATGCAGAGGACACCCGGCTCTACCTCTCGTTCTCAACCGATCCAGGTGAGGCAGTGGCTGTGCTGAACCGGTGCCTGGCCGAGGTGATGGGCTGGATGAGGGCCAATAAACTGGAGCTCAATCCAGACAAGACGGAGGTCCTGTTGGTAGGCGGTTTGGGCTTCGGGGTGGGGGACCTGGACCTTGTCGTGAATGGGGTTGCACTCCCTCTGAGGGACAGAGTTCGCAGCTTGGGAGTGCTCCTCGACGCAGAGCTGTCGTTAGAAGCTCAGGTGACGGCGGTGGCGAGGAGCGCTTTCCTCCAGCTTCGGCTGATCCATCAGCTGCATCCCTACCTGGAGGATGATTGCCTGGCGACAGTGACACATGCCTTGGGCACTTCCCGATTGGACTTCTGTAACGCGCTCTACGTGGGCCTGCCCTTGAAGACGGTCCAGATACTTCAGTTGGTGCAAAACAGAGCTGCCCGCTTGCTGACGGGGACTGGGCATTGTTCTCATATAACCCCAGTCCTCCGTCAGCTTCACTGTCTTCCCATTGAAGTCTGGGCCAAATTCAAGGTGTTGGTTATGACCTATAAAGTCCTCAACGGCTTGGGACCTGGCTATCTAAAGGAGAGCTGGCGTCCATATATGCCCTCCTGCCCCGAGATTGGCGGGGGAGACCCTCCTCCGGGAACCCTCCATGAAAGATATTAGGAGGGTGAGTACCCGGAAGAGGGCCTTTTCTGCGGTGGCGCCCAACCAATGCAATGCACTCCCCAGTAAGGTCTGCCTGGCGCCCTCGTTATTTGTTTTTCGGCACCAGGCCAAGACCTTTTTATTTAAAAGTTATTTTAATTGTTAATTGTTGACTATTAATTGGGATTTTATATTGTGCTGAGATGTCTCCGGATTTTTAAGGTTAATTGTGTGTATTCTTGTTTGTTTTGTAAGCCGCCCCGAGACTCTGTGCGAATGGGGCGGCATAGAAATGTTTGAAATAAATAAATAAATAAATAAAGTATCTCAATTGTATTTGAACCTTGTGCCACCAGGAAATATCAATACCCTGCTCCTGTAGTTCTTGATTCGGTTTCTGTTTTCCATCAGTATCCAAACTGCCATATCTCACAATCATAGTAAAATTCAATGCCTTTGGATATGTCAGAGCTTCCATGGGAGAAGGCCACCTCGGCAACTTAGTCTACTGCTCTGTCTTTCGCTTCTCCCAAACCGACATCAGTGGATTTCTAGCGTAAGGATTTAAGCAATAGCCGTGTGTCTTCCACCCCTCATACCACGTGGGAGCCTGCCATCCCATGTGCGCCTCACTCCCGGTCCCCTCCTTTGTTGAATGAACTGTGTGCTGCTCAAAGTTCGCTTGCTGTGGCACTTGGGAGCTGCGACGAGCTTGCCACCAAGCAAGGGCACCCGTCTTGCCTAATCGTTAGATTTTTATTTCCCCTCTCCTGCCTTTTACTCCTGTACCGGTAGAATGATTTAGCAGCAGCCGTGGGTAGTGCATCTTGGCTTTATTGAGTTATTGTATCGATACACTTTGAGTTGTTGTGATGTTATTGTGGTTGGTTGGTTGGTTGGTTG